CCTGATTCCCTCTAACTGCGTTTAAACACTGACATCTTATCTCTCTTTTTTAATGAAAAAGCTTTGACTTTATTTCCTCTGCTAAATACACACTTTTCATATGTTCTATCTTAACCATCAGCTCACACTCTTTCAGTTCACAGCTTCACCTGCACTCCATCTGTCAATCAAAGGTGCAGTGAAGCCAACCAAACAGCAGCAGCATAAACCCCACCAGTGCAACCAGTAACACCAGTACCAGGGTGTGCGTTCATCTATTGGCTGTGTGCCATCTGCTCTATCTCCTCTCAACCTCCGCTCACACTCTCTTCTGATGAGGACAGTGATGCAGTATTGATTTAAAAAGCCTTTAAATGACGTGTAGAAAAATAAATCTTCATTTTTTTCCTCCCCACACACGCAGGCCCGCAGCATATGGCCTGTGCGTGGTTTTCCAGCTGACACACAGAGAGAGAGAGAGAGAGAGAGAGAAGGAGAGAGCATCGTGACATCTGAGGCTGTTCTGTGTGTCGACTCGGATCTGTGTATTGAAAGGCTGCACACACACACACACACACACACACACACACACACACACACACAGAAACCTACAGGAGCGGATCAATACGGGGCCGTTAATGGCAGATAAATGGATGCTGCCGCGTTGGGATTACAGTCTATTAATTGCGGAGTAAAAGGCGCACGAGAACAAAGAATGTGGCCTTTTTGCTTTCCCACATATTGTCACACATGAAACCAAAAACAGAGCTACACCGACTGACATCCTTAGACTCGATGAAATATAACGATTCATTGCTTTTTGGCCTGTTGACATCGGCGTTGTTCCATTTCAAGTCCAAGCCCATCATTTACAGCACACACACACACACACACACACACACACACACACACACACACACACACACACACACACACACACACACACACACAGAGACGAGCGTGGATGGAGAGAAGATGTGAGCGGGTCAATGAGAAATGAAAGGTGGGAATCAGAGACAAGGTCATCAGCGTCGTGAAAATGGAAACAAAGCAGCAGAAACACAAACAATGAGAATCTGAAAAAAATGTCTCCACCTTTTTTCCTTCACGCGCTCCCTCCGTTCATCCGCGCGCTGAGGTAAAGCAGAGCTCCGACCCTTTTGTGTTGCTGCTGCTGATGCTGCTGATGCTGCTGCGGGTGCCCGACAGACAGGGGAGACGCACGCACAGCTGCACGCGGAGGAGATGGAGATGGGAGGGTGTGGCTGCGCGAGGAAAGGAGAGAGAGAGAGCGCGAGGAGAGCACGTTATCGTAACGTCAGCTCGCGCTTTTCGGAAGTAATTAAAGGAAGCTGCCTCGAGGTATAAACAAAACGTGTCCCTGAAGGGGTTAATTTGCTGGGACGTAAACGCATGTACTTGAACGTTACTCACCAGCATCAGTCATTCTGAGTCTGAGTTTACAGCTGCTTTGATTTACTCTGTAAATTATGATTTATATCTATATATAATGCTGTTTATTATAAAAGGTTTGAATAATAGACATACAAAAATATTCTTCAATATTTTGATAATTAACTGACTTTTTTTTTAGCAAAGAGACATAATTATAATAAAAGCATGCTAATAAAAATAAAACGTATAATTATTATCAAATATAGCTCCTCCTCATTGATAAGGCCTTGCTTTTTAAAAATATATATAGACTATATATGTATATATGTATATATACATATATATATTGAACATTTAAAAAATGTCAGTTTGGGATTGAAAAATTGTCTAAGTTCTAGGTTTAACAGAACAGGCGAGGGCATTGAAAAGGGTGGCCATGGCCCCCACTGAAATCTGATTGGCCACCCCAAAAGCCCTTAACACTAGCCGTTTTCACACGAGTCCGCTACACGACGCTATAATGAGAATATTTGTCTTTATATCAATGCTATGTGTAATCCAATGAAATGACAACATCCACTAAAGAGTGGAGAACAACATACTGATGAACAGAAAACAGAATGCAGACGTTTAATTAGTGCACAGAGATGATAGTGGTCGCATGCAGACACTTCAGCCAGTCACTGTATATAAACGTCATTCGGGTCCCATTGGCTGGAATTGAAATCTCCGGAGTATATGCTGCTGTGTTCAGACATCAGCTCACTCGGATATTCTGCGGGTAAAACACTAGGGGTCTGGCCGGAGAAACTCCGGGTAAAGTCTGCGCTAAAAATGTGTCTGTTTGCGTTCACACATTACTAAAGAACCTCAGGGTAGACTAATCTCTGGAGTTTTTCAGGAGATTTTTGTATAAGTGAAAAGGGTTACTGAGTGCATTCACACAGACTTGAGTATCCAGGTTATGAGCTGTATACTGTATCTGGGTTTGGATCATTTTCAGGACATGGCGTTTACATAGACACGGAGAAACCTGCTTATTCATATTCTTGTACACGATATAGACTACTATTATCCTGGTTATTGATTACTGCATCCTGTTTGCCCAGGCGCCTGTTATGGTTTTCTTTTACAACACAAAACACTGCAATTTTGAAATCTAAGAAAAAGGGAACCACTGTAGCTTACTGCAGGCTTAACACTGTTAAATGTCGTCAATGAAAAGGTCAGCTTGGATTGTTTCAGGTATTGTTCATTTGATACAATCTGAAGGAAAAGTAAACAACGGGTTAGCCATCTCATTCTGTAACAACAGTAACTTATGTTTATTATACATTTTTATTCTTCCTGCTCCTGCTTGTTGATGACCCTGTAAAATTATTTTGTAGAAAATCGTGTTTATTGTGATGTTTATTGTGTTGAACTGAAATGAGTAAACAAACCAAATATGAATGAATGAATTTCGATGCTTTCTCCCATCTAAACTTCCAGTTAAAACTCAGTCACTCCACAAGTGAGATGCTCTTGTTGCCATCGCCATCTTTGTTTTATAGCCTTTATAGCCTTCACTTGGCTGAGGCTGCACCTCAGCCAAGTGACATGTTTACATGAACAAACACAAAATCAGGACACTTAAAAGCAGGAAGAAAAGCAATGGGAACACAAACAACAAATTATTAGCTGTTGCTATGCTAGCCTGAATAGCAAGGTGTATACGTAATGCAGGGTTGCTGGGATACTATATTTGTGATGCTATTTTCTTCCAGCAGAAGTCAGGTTTTTAAACTAAATGTCAAAGAACTAAAAGCCTCTCAGTGTCTTCTAGTAAAACCATATTTTAACAAGATGATTATCAGGTTGCTGTGGTTGTGAATGTCCTTAACTTCTCCCCTGTTTCTGGTCTATTTGACTCTAAATAGGACTAAATGTTTACTGGATCAACATCAACTGAGTAGTAGACTCAAATTTCATTTTCAAAATGTTTTGTAACCAATGAAGTCGCAAACTGCTGGTCATAAAAAAAGAAGGATCAAGGCATTTCTACAATGGATTGACTTTTGGAACCAAGATTGTTCAGCATTTCTTGTTTTTATTTTCGCTTTTGACTTTTTTTTAACCTCCTTCTATAAATGCACTTACATCCCCTTTTTAATGTCAACGTTTTCTTTTTTATTTGTCAGACTGTAAACCCCTTTTGGTCGAGATTTATTGTTTTTGAACCTGGTCTATAAATTGAGTTCTCAAAAAGGGATCTTAAGATTTGTCAGTTATTCAGTAACATGTGTAACTTGTAAGAAGTAATAAATAAAACATTTCAGCTCCCACAGAGAAATATTAACCTCAACAATGCAGAATAAATACTTCCAACAACATGAATATTTAAATGAGCTTTGTGTTTTAATTGAGATCTCATTGAGGTCACATGTTTAAGCTGCTGAGATTCATTTCCTGCACTAAGAAGTTTATGTTTAAACCCTTTAGTATCCCTGAATTACAACGCACAGAATGAAAACATGAAGTAGTCCTTTTTAACACTCGCCAAGATTTAGAGATTATCATTCCGGGACGTGTGCTGGATTAATATTTCAGTGTGCCATTTCTTTCAGGTTTATGCTAATAGGCTTAATAAATTCAAGGAGTAGGCTGTTAATATGAACCCATGCATGCAGCTCTGTAGCAGCAACAGTATAGTTGTTAGCACCTTGATCTGTAGGTTAATAAATGTCTTTACACATCCAAAAGTCCCAAACAGACTTTATGTAAAGAAGACTTTGAGAGACACAATCCAGGAAAACATGCTGTACATTTAATTTTGATACTTTACAGACAATTGTAATGTTTTTTTTAATTTTAATTAAAGCTGTCCTGATTTGGACCGAACCATTCAGTTGTATTAAAATGTTGTTTTTTTAGCTGCAGGCAGATTTGATGTGTTTGTGCTAATATGCAGATAAAAGCTCCAGCAGATATCAGGCTGCTTGTAACTTCACACTGGGATGATTTTGTCTGTTTAACATCCATTCATGAAGATACTCTTCCACTTTCCATCCTTGCAACATGGCACAGCTCCAACCAAAAAACTAGATTTCCTATGATGTTAATAATACATTTACTTGACTTTTGATGAGTTCTCACCCTGACAATCAGGATACAAGGAACATAGGGTCAGCACTAATAATATGTTTTTAAAAGGTAAAAAATCTTGCTCACCACTAAACATTTGAGGAGGTTTTCAGGACTTTTGTTGCTGGTATTAAAGCACCATTTGTTTGAAAAACAAAGATGAAAACCTCCCTGGCAGCACATATGTTGCTAATATAAGTTGAACAATATTATATATTTATTTAGTAAACCCAGAAGGGACTTTATGCCTAATCGTTTCTGCATAGAATCAATCAAGGATTTTAATTTGAAAATCTTAACCTGATTGATTTTTTGTTATTTTTGTGGCTAAAAACATGGCCTTCCTTTTTTAAAAAAAATATTATTATACAAGTCATTCCGTGTGAAAAGAAAATATCTTTTTTATTCTTGAATGTGAAAATGTATCTGGTGTGATTTGATCAACTCACCTTGCACCATCCTCGCCCAAAAGCTTTTATTTTGACGGTTCATCCGGAAGTCCTGCACACGCTGACTACAGTGGCTAGCTTGATGTACTTTGAAAGTTAACTATGGGTACGTGGTAGGTACCTTGTTGTTTGTTTCCCTACGTTAATGAGTTTCAAACTTTATAAAGATAATAGTTAAAGGCCAGCGGGACACTCAGGATGCTTCCTCGCAGGCAGGAGGTCGGGATAAAACGTCCCGGAGGAGGACGCAGCAGCTCGGTTATAAATTTCAGGACGACTGTGAGCTCGGGTTCGGTCCGCCGCAGCTCCGCCGTTTTACCGTCTCTGCTCACGTTCCTGGTGATCGTGGCGTCCGGGGGCCTGCTGCTCATGATAGAGAAAGGACTGCTGAACGGTATGGAGACGCCTCCACCGCGGGGGAGCAGCGGCCGGCGGCTGGAGCTCCTCCGGCGGGAGGACGGGAGGCACAGCCCGGCCGCTGAAGACGTGGACTCCCAGGTACGGTACTAGTAGGAACCGTCCAGTTCTGCTGGCTGGTGTTACGAAGTGAACGGCTCCTGTGCAGAATTAGGTCGGGATTTAACTCGTGACTTTGTTTATTTCACAATATTATAAATCTGTGTAAAAAAAAACGGGAAGATTTAAGGCTCTTTGTTGGGTTATTATTTCATGACAAACTTAAACAGTCTTCCTGAAACATCCTGGCTTTATATTGTCCTCACCTTGAACCTCCATGTTCACCCCGTCACATTCCGTAGGTTAACCTATGTTTCATATGCTTTGGTTATAAATTGTGCAAGTTTAAAATTGTGCAATTTCGACAGCGTGTAAATATTGCACAGAAGTTCCTTTTCGGTCACAGTGGTTTAGAAACAGTTATCATTGTTACTAGTTTAATATCGTAGTTTACAATTCTGGTATCATCACACCCCTACTGCATACATAAAAGACACCAAGTACTGTCCTCCTATAGCCCACAGCAAAGAAACAGAAAACAAATAAAAGAAAATAAAATCACTCTTCAAAGTTCAGATAAAGGTAGAGTAAAAAAGAACTACAAACTATTAGCACCACAGTCATCGGAGTAGTTTTTGTAACTAAATCAAAGTTGGTATTTCTGACTCTTGTCCTCTGCTGTGAAGGAACATTCAAGTTATTAGTGTTAAACTTATAACGTTTCAGTAAAGTTTAAAAAAAAGAACAGCATGAATTCATATTTTCACTTTTAGTCATTTTCTAAAGAGCTCTCTTTCTAAAAGTCAAACACATTCTCAGCAGATGGTCAACATGAGTCTGCTTCTTTCTCTTTCTGAAGTTGTTTTTACAGCTGTTACTTTTCTAAAAGCAGCTAAGTGCTGTGCGCATGGTGGATTAATGTTGGGTCTTATTAAGTAATATAACAAAGAGTACATGAAGGTAACATTTGTTATGGATTGGCGCTAGACTAAACAGATTGATGGCTGTTTGAAACATGGGGAGTAGGGCAAAGTTATTTAGAACATTTGAAGACACATGAAGCAATAAGCAGGAAAACATGAGGCACAGAGTTATAAATAAGAACAATAACATTTGTAAAAGATAAGACTAAGTGAGAAAAAGTGACGGCTAGTTAAAGGCAACCTTAAGTAAATACGTTTTTTTGCTTTTATAGCCTGTTTGAGAATTCTGTTTTGCTGTTGTTTTGATAAAAATTGTTATGTGTGAAAGGTTGTATTCAGAAACTCTACTGCAGAGCATCTCAGAGGCCATGAATGCTTATATAACAAAGACCAAGAATAAAGAGGCTTGTAAACAAGAAAAGAAACCTTAAAAATCAATGCTGGAAGACACAGAGGAGTGTACAGGTTGGCTCCTTCTGTTGTTCTTGTTAAAAGTCAGGCTGCAGACCTCTGAATAATGTGTTATTAATCAGAGGATTGTTTTTGAAAACCAGTGCATCACAGTCTGTTTTTCAATCCTCAATCCTGATGCACTGTCATGAAACTGATGACAAAGTTAGGTGTTATTTTGGGACTTGAACTGTATAAAACACGCATGTATTCTCAGTGTTGTCGCTCACTTGTTTCTGAAGAGGCGTCATGAAGCCCAACAATGTCTCCATATTGGAAATGCTGACTAATGATTTTAAAGGAAGAATATGCAACTTTTTGATCCAGCAGATGTCGCCCTTGAGCTCCAGCATGAAACCAAAACAACTCGTGGTGCATTGTTGTGTTAGCATGCTAATGCTAGCGATCTTTATTATGCTGGTATCTTCACACTGCATGTAAATTTACCTGAAATGAGCGTGATCTAGAAACACAGTTAAGCAGTGAGTACAGTATGTTATTCTTCTTTTCTCTAGTCCCTCAATTAAACAACTTCTATACATGAGGGGAGGAGTCAGCCGGCTGTCCTGGCGATGTAAACAAACTGAAGATAGGACTCTGAAAACATCAGTGGGACTCGGGTGTTACACCCATTGTAGACAGTCATGACTCACAGAGTTATTTTCAGAGGATATACTTGATTTATATTACATTTAAGTGTGAAAAATCACATATAAAGCCTTTAATAAGAATTCACACTTTTTTGGCTCTTTAAACTGAAGGTTACTGCTTGGATTTGTGGACATTGTAGAAATGGCGTTTGTGTGTAAAGTTTGTGAAATGCACCTTTGAGTACCTGTTTTTTAATTTTTTTTTCCACATGTAGATCATCCAGGAGATCAGAAACAGGACCATCAGGACTGTGTGCAGCCAGAAGAACATGCCGCACAACATCTGGACCCTGAGCCCGCTGCAGAGGAAGACGCTGCTGCAGCACGTCTTAGTCAACGACAAGCACCGCTTCCTGTACTGCTACGTGCCCAAAGTGGCGTGCTCCAACTGGAAGCGGGTCCTGAAGGTCCTGAGCGGCGCTCTCGAGAGCGTGGACGTCAACGTCAAGATGGACCACCGCAGCGACCTGCTGTTCCTGTCCGCTCTGAAACCCGATGAGATCCGCTACCGCCTGGAACACTACTTCAAGTTCATGTTTGTGCGCGAGCCCATGGAGCGGCTGCTGTCAGCGTACAGGAACAAGTTCGGAGAGATCGAGTCGTACCAGAGGAAGTACGGTGTGGAGATCGTAAAGCGGTACAGGAAAGGCCGCGCGAAGGACGCCTCTGTAACCGGAGACGACGTGACCTTCGCGGAGTTTGTCCGCTACCTGCTGGACGAGGACGTGGAGCGGATGAACGAGCACTGGATGCCCATCTACAACCTGTGCCAACCCTGCGCCGTCTCCTACGACTTCATCGGCTCCTACGAGCAGCTCCACAGCGACTCAGAGTTTGTGCTGCAGCGAATCGGAGCGCCCCCCTCTGTCCACTTCCCAGAGAGACAGACGTGGTACAAACCGGTCACCACGGAGACGTTACACTACTACCTGTGCAGCTTGCCTCAGAAGTTGCTGAGGGAACTGCTACCCAAATATATTTTAGACTTTTCCCTCTTCACGTATCCTCTCCCCAACACGACCACTCAACACTGTCGCCATTAAACAATCCTTTAGAGAGCGCAGATTATTTTTTATAGAGAATCATTGTACTATTTTTTATTCTTAGAGAACAAGCAGTGTTTTTATAGCTGTTACATATTTTCACCTGATGGTTTAAATATTATTGGAAAATGCTGATTTTTTGAAAGTTTACTTAGAAACCACTAAAAGCTTGAGATGAGCTGCGGACAACAGGAAACAAAAAGCATGTCAATCACAGGGATGCACTGTCTGTTACTGATCAAACATGTGGATCAGGACTGGTCGATTTAAATCTATTTGTACTTCTGTGAGCTGAACGCCATGAAACCCGGAGCTCACTGAGCGCTTATTTTCAACAAGGAAGATTCAACCTGCTGTCACAGAGAGAACTGTGTGTGACATTTGATTCACCGACAAGTTTTAACGCTGCTTGCAACATCTTTGATGATTTGCTAAGCCATATTAAGGGGGAGTTCCAGTACTTTAAACCTAGGCCCAATGGGGTCAAAATGACTGACTGGTAGAAATGTGTTGGTGTTTTATGGGTAGATTCCAGTAGGTCCAAAGTTGTTGTTTTTGTCATCGACAGGCTCATAGTTATTTTAAGTGTCTGACAACATTAGACAAAGGATCCTTACAGTCATTTCCTTTTTTGTTGATGTTTTTTTAAAGCATAAAAAGCTGCAGAGTCACTCATCGCAAAGCCACTAGATAATATCGTGTAAGGGTATTTTTTTACCTCACAGATCACAGGAGCTGCTCGTTTTCCAAGTTTATTCAAGTTACTTTGTGACTTTGCTTTTTTTTAATGTTTAGTTTGACCCACCTCAATATTCAAGTAGTACACAAACTAACAAAAACAAAAGACAAGCGACTCACACGTCCTGATATCAGCTGGTAGTCAAAGCACAGGTGCTGGTATCGGGGACTGAAATAGTCGTTCTGTGTGTCCCTCATTTCAAAGTGTTCCTGTCATGCACTGTTACAATTAATGCACCAGTTCAGTATGCATCCATAGAGATGGCAATAGGGTTACAAGACCAAACTTTGTATCATGTTTGTTTTGTCGTCCACACGTTGGAGAAGGTTCATGTCCGTTTCCTGTGAGGGGGTTTTTCAGCTTCTTCCACTTTGTAATAAAAGCTTCATTTTAGAGACACATATAGTTTTTTACTTATTTGTTCATCCTTTTATTTTTGTGAATAATTTAAACATTATTAAAACATGAATATAAAGCGTTGGAAAACAAATAACCACAGGAATGAATGAATACTTCATTTGCTACATGTTCGAGGTCGTAGTTGGTTTCAGAAACAACACCTCCTCCTTAAAGCTCAGCCGAGAGCTTGATTTTATTTTTGTTTGGCTGTTAGTGCGGTCGTCAGCTTCAGTGAAGCCCCGGGCAGGATTTCACCCGGTTCACTAAGTGGCACTGAGATAAGTTTCAGGTTAATCAACACTGAGGCTCACCAGAGTCGTCACAGTTCAAGTCCCGACTCGAGACAAGAAGAAAAAAAGCTTCTAGTGGTTTCTGACTCACTGATTGACGCCCTAATTAGTGTCTCTTCTGTTGTTAATCCTTGAAGCTCACACTCCTGCAGAGGGAAAGAAAACAGATATGAACGTGTTGATATCAACAAGGGAGAGATTTCTTAATAGTTTAATTTAGTGCGAAAACTTTTGACACTTTTTTAGTAAAAAGAGAATAAAGAAAAGACCAGTCAAACAGTTTGATTTAGAAGATAAACTAAAAGTTAAAGAGTCCTAAGCCTCACCTGTCTGCTGACTTGTCCGAGGATCGGTTGAGGGTTCGGAGGATGGAGCGGTCAGGAGACGTGTGGTGATGACTGCTGGAGCTGCTGAGAGGTAAAGAGCTGTGCAGGGACGAGAAGGAGAGGCCCTGTCTCCGCATCTCCTGCACTGCCCGCTCACTGAGGACGGACAGACGACAAGACAAAATGTTATTGTTTAAACAGTTTCAACTAAAGTGCTTTGATATTTAGTGCAACAGATCAATTCAAAAAAGATGTCCCAGGTGACAGCTTTTTACATCTTCTAATGTGAATATTTGCGCATTTTCACACCAACAGGATGCCAACTATAGTAATATTTTTTCTGCTCCGTCCGTACTGTGTACTGCAGCAACGTAGGGCTGCAGATAATTATTCATTTTGAAAATGAATTCATTCATGAAAATAAAACATGCATTAAATGATTCTGTAACTTCAGTTTGGTTAAATAATTTTTCTATGAAAAGGTTGAAACAATTCAAATGTAACTTAAACTTCTTAAAGGGTTAGTTATGAGTCAATGAAAAGTGTATAATCAGCTTAATCTTCAGCCTTTACAGTCGGTGTGTAACTTATTCTTTGATATATTTGTCAATTATTTAATCCTTCATTTCATAACACAACTACAACTACAATGTTTTATTATTTTATTTTCCCCCTTTGTGAGGAAGAAATGTTAATGAAAACAAATGTTACTTTCAGGCCTATTTAAGATTGTTATACATAAAATTTGATGAATTTTTCAAGAAATTAAACACTGAATGTTAGTTTCATAAACCAAAGAAATTGGAAATACTTTCTGCTGGTTTCAAACAAACTTGGAAATTTTCCGTAACAACTCTACATCATGCTAATTCCCAGAGAATAAGTAAGAAGTTTGTTCTTTAATATTTCAGGGAAAGGCTAGATTTGATTTTTTTAACACTGGTGCTTCTGAATAAATTACATTTATTTGATATGTTTGATCACCGTATTGATAAGATGAAATGACGACAGATGCAGTTCCATGCAGCCTTGGTTCCTCTAAACCATCAGGACTCATGTGTTTGAGTCAGCATCACAGTTAAGAGACACATGAGAACTTTTCTCACCGTTCGAAGCGTTCAGAGGTCAGCTGTCTCTTCAGGACGTCCATCTCCGTCTGCAGCTGAGAGACTTTACCGCGGAGCTGAGAAACCTCCCTGCTGTGCTCCACACTGAGTGAATTTACACCAACGCACACAAATTACAATCAAATTCTGACGGAGAACATAAATCGGTTTATTTAATCCGAGTTATTTTAATGGATTTGTACGTTTTGCTGTCGGCCAGGGTCAGCCTATCACGTAGGACCTTCAGCTCAGACTCCTTCTCGCTGGCCGTCAGATGGGTTTGGAACTCTTTGTGCCGATTGGAGGAGAGGAGCGTCTCCAGGTTACGGACGGTCAACCGCTCACTGGCCAGCTGTTTCTTCAGCAGCTCAGCCTCTGAGCGAACGTCCTCCAGCTCTCCTGTCAACTAAAGAGCATTCAGATGTGTTTAATAGAAAGCAGAAAGATCACCTGCTGCTGCTAACCTACATGTGTTGTGTTTAGTCCTCACCCTCTCCAGATCCATACTCCTGGAGGTGAGCTGCCGGGCCGTGAGCTCCTTCCCGGAGTCCAGTTTGACACACAGCTCCCTGACAGAAGCCAGATCTGAGAGGAGAGCCGCCTTCTCTTCCTGAGCTTTGTGGAGCTCCTCCTCTAGTCGGGACATCCCACGAGCAAGTGACGACACCTGAGCATCGTACGCCTGCAGGGCCTGAGTATGCTAAAATAAAATCAAACACCCGTCAGATACCGTTAAAGACAACATTTTATCTTACACTGCGACAGTGCCACAAAATGTTTAAGTGTCTGTAAAAAAGATGATGAATTAGGGTGTTTCAAAGAAACAAAAACAAAGGTGTAGAACTAAAGTTATTGAAACATTTGTATCATTCAAGTACTATGTAAACAAATATTCCATTGATGCACAAAATGTATCTTTAAAAAGACAATTCAACCTGAACTTTCGGGGTTCTCAATGTATATTTCGTTTGTTGTGGAATTTTAGTTTATTTTGGAGTTATAAAGGGATTAATTAAAGGGATATTTTTGTTATAATTAAATTGTTTGGTGACGAAACGCTCTGTGTGGGGTATACATTACTTTGGGGATTTCACAAATGTTGGGTTAAATGTATTAATTTTTGGGGTTTCTTTAATTCACGATAATTTAAACTAATTTTTCCGGACGAAAAATGCACTTTTCTGTAGATGTTATGCATCAGCTGCTTCTCCCTCCGCTGGTATCACCTGCAGTTGTAAACATTTTTATTTGATGCTTTTCGATAGCACATGTTTAAAATCGATCTCAGTTATTCTGATAGTATCGAAAAGTGCTAAAGCTTTAAAAAACGTCTATTTTCAAACCACAGGTGCTTAGGAGAGGAATGATGCATAAAATCAATACATTGCAATTTTTGATCATAGAAAACAAGAAGTTTCCTGATATTGGGTGCCTATTTTTGTTGTTATGGAAACAGGTATCACTATTCTTTTATTTGACTATTATCCTTTTAAAGTTTAAAATCCAGGTGTCACGACCACCCCCCTCTCACCTGTTGTATTTCTCTCTCCTGGTGTCCGATGGTGTCTCGGAGGTGTCGGCGCTCCGTGTCTGAAGACAGCAGCTCCAGACGGATGGAGTTATTCAGACCTTCAGCCTGCTGCAGCTTCTGCTCCCGCTGCTCCACCTCAGAGTGAGCCGTCATGAAACGCTCCAGCAGGTCCCTGTTCTCCTGCTCCTGTGGGGTCAACACGGAGGAGTCAGCTGGCAAGAAAGAAGAAAGGTGACACAGGAGGTCCAGAAACAAGACACTCCAAGAAACGTTTCTCACTTGCCTTTGTGGCCATCACTTTTTCTATTCGAGACACTTCCGATATGTACGAGTGGACTCTCATCTTCAGCTCGTCCCTCTCATGCAGAGCCTCCTCTATCTCCACATGAACAGCCTGTACACAGAAACACAACATGAGCAGCAGTACAGACACTGAAGAACACATCCCTGAGGTTTTATCACATACTTGATTCTCTCTGGTCATTGTAGCCAGGTCGTCCTGCAGCCTCCTGTTCTCTCTGATGGTGATCTCTTTGTCCCTCCTGAGTCCACTTAGCTCCTCCTGACCGGCCTCCAGCTGCCTCCTCAGGCTGCCGATCTCCCTCTCTCGACTGTTTAGCGCCCCCTGCAGCTGGCTGTGAGGATCAAGCATTAATATTAAACTAAATATAATTTATTAATCTGGGAAAACATGATTAAATTAGCCGACATTTTACTTGTATATACATTTTTTCATCGTATGGCTCCCCCTCCACTCAATGAATACATTAAACAAAATCTAAACAGATCTACCAGAGCATCTGTAAGAGGGGATGTATAAAAAGTAGTTTTGGGCAGTCAGTCTTTTCTTATCAAGCAGCACATACATGGAATACTATACCCACAGAACTAAGGAACATCACATCTCTGAAATCCTTTTCTAAATCTATAAAACAATGGTATTCAAAAATCAGACATGCTGCCATAATCTGGATTAATGTACTTTGTCTTTACTTGTAGTCTGTGCCCTTATGCTCCTTGTCTGCGCATGGTGCTTTTTATGTATTTAAATGTGCTATATGTTACACATTTTTATTTTATGTCTGTGTGCTGCTTTATCAATTGCTTCCATGTGTATGTGTTGTTTTATTTTTTATGCTTATGTGTTCTTGTGTCTATGTTTTTGTGCTGCATTTTCCTGTATGCTTTTTAATGTTTTCTTGAATGTCATCAACCTGCCAGGGACTGCAGATGAAAATTAGCCTGCATGGCTAAATCTGGCACATTTACATGTGTGACTTTGTTGCTCTTGTTAATTAATGTGTGTTGTCCCTTTTAAATAAAGAAATCAAAATCAAAAATATCACCAAATAGATTTAGTATTTTTTTTAGCATTAAGTTGTATAAAAAAAAAACCTCAGATCTTTGTGGTCACAATACTTACGCTAGTGCGTTGTCCATGTTTGTGACTGTGAGTCTCACGTCTTCAACCGTCTTCTCCTGTGAATAATAAAACCTCGTTAGTCCCCCTAAAGACAATTCTTCCATTTATATCTGAGGGAAACTGTCTCGCTTGGAACAGAGTCTGCTGTATGACTTTATAGTTCACCCCATATATAATACATATATATATATATATATACACACTAGTGTGGGGCCAAGTGGGGGACTCGATGACGCACTGGGGCTCCCTAGCATTATCCCACCCCCCTAGCTCTACAGAGATATAAAAGCACCATTCCATTTCCATTTCCTAACTCCAACTCAGAAACTCACAGAAACTTCAGTAGCCTGAGATAAATTCCAACATGGTTGCTACATGCATGAACATTAAAGATTGTCCACCTAAACCAGTTTCAGTTATGTATTTTTGTTTTCCAATCAGTCAACAACTTACTCCCCGTCTGTTTTCAAGATATATTTCAATTCATTTCTCAAATCCATCATTACAACACAAGGTCAGCCAGCTTACTTAATTCTGCATTTTTCAGGACATCTTTTCTCAATTCTCTATCAGATTCAGAGGACCTCATTGTTGGAACAATTTACCAAATCTAATTAGAAACAGCACCAGCCTCAACTTATTTAAAAAAACAAACCATTTATTTCCTGCTTGGCCAATTAACCAATGCACCATCACCATAAGAGCTTATTTTCCTTTCTTTCCTTCTTGCACATTTCTTTCAAAATGTATATTTTGTTAATTAACTTATCATTATGTACTGTCTGTTTTTCCATTGATATATTATGTTTTTTTTTTCTTTTTGCTTTTTAAGAGCAATAAAATTAAAAAAAATAAAAAAGTTTAAGCAGTACATTAGAGTGTTTATTATCAACTTAGTCTTGTTTTTGTGTCATAAAATCAATCACACCGCAATAGTATTGTGCAAGCCCTATCTGTTGACATGTCCCTGTGACCTGGATTCTTGCTCTGAGGCCTTTGACAGGTGAGAGAGGCGTGTATTCCCAATGAGTGAATAGAAACTCTTATACTATTTAGAAGGTTTCTTTCGGTTACAGTTACCTTCTTAGATAACTCCTCCTGGAGAACAACCAGTTTTTCAGTCATTTGATCCACCTCATCCTGCAGAGCATCTTTCTCTCTATCCAGGGCAGAGATGGATTTCTGCAGAGCTGACACCTCCTCTTTGTGCTTTGAGCCGTGCTGACTCAGCTCCTCTGTCAGACGGGACAAAAAAAATCAAACAAACAGCCAAAGAGAGGAAACTAAACAACTCATATCAGGTGTAGCAGCCCCAGAAATATTCACCTATTCTCTTCTCCAGGTTGTCTATCAGCTCGTGTGCAGCGTGCAGCTCGTTCATCTTCACAGACAGCCTGTGCTGTGTGTCAGACAGTGACTGCTCCATCTGCTCCTGCAGCAGCCTACACACACACACACACACACACACACACACACACACACACACACACACACACACACACACACACACACACACACACACACACACACACACACACACACACACACACACACACACACACACACACACACACACACACACACACACACACACACACACACACACACACACACACAGCAGTTCAATCAGAGTCCATCAGCTGTTTAACACACTGGCAACAATCACAACAACACCTGATCATACTTTCTTAGCCAGGAAATCATTAAGGGAACAGATGACATACTGAGGCTACTGCTGATCCTATTTTTTATTTTAAACTGTTCAACTGTATCATAATAAGCATTTTAAACCACTTTGTGCAGATGGATAAATGACTCATACTTCATGAAAAGCTTAACAGAGTGGGTTACCACAGCTCATTTAGTTTCAATTTTTTTTTTTTTTCCCACACACACACACACCTCAAAGCGTTGGACTCCGCCCTCTGCTGTGTGACCTCCTCTACACCCTGAAGGAGCGCAGCAGACCGAACCTTCAGCTCCTCCTCCGCAGCCTCCCTGTTCTCCTTCAGCAGACACACCTGAGACCGCAGGTCCAGCCTCTCCCGCTCCAACTACACAACAAAACACACACCAGATGCAACCTTACAGCAACTCTAACCCATTCAGTCCAGACAGATTTACAGAGCACATCGATGTAGAGAGAAATGTGTTTCAGACATAATGAAGAATTTATCTGAGGAAAATGTTCATTTTTTAAATCTTTATCAGGCTCACACTCTTAACGGAGATCTCCAGGTCCAGAATCCTCCTCTCCTCTCTGTCTGTGAGAGCTGAAGTCTGAGCAACCTGCAGACAGATTACTCAACTAGTTAATAATAATAATGTGTAAATGTGAATTTTATCTACAGTTAAAGTAACACCGCAACAAGAGATTTTTTTATTTTTTTTTATCAACAATCTATCAATTATATATCTGCAAAGAAATTCAGATATCTTCATTAATGGATACATTGTTATGACAAATAATATACAATGATGTGATCAAATGTTTATTTGTATTGATGGAAAACTAAAGAATAAAAAAAAAAAAAAATGCAACTGATGTTATCTCATTCTTTTAATCTAATTTCACATTTTAGGATAAACTCAACAAATGACTTAAGACTCTATTATTACCAACAAGCTAACAATCAAAGGTTTAGATGTTCAAGGTTTCTTTGTAAGGACCTACTTAAAGGTACATTTGCTGTGCAGACGGGATAAAAACATTACAGTGATGCTGATTCTCAGTTCAAAGGCTGTTCGGGCAAAACACACCGACTAAAACGTTTAATCTATCCTTCGATGGTAAAAGTACATCATCTTGTGCTGCTATAGCTGCAGGTACAAAAGTGTTTCTGCAGCGTTTTGTTTCCTATGTGGAAACCAAAAGCCAAAAAAGAAGAAGAGGATGAAACTCAGTTTAAAGAATGAAAACTGTCATGAAGAACAGAGCTCTGGTTGAGCTTGACCTTTAACCTTGCGCTCTCATTTATTACGTTGTATGTGGTTTTGTCCCCCTCTGCTGGTTGTAATATGTAACTGTTTGTAACCATTTGACTGATTTTGTCTAGGGTGTGTATGGTTGGGGGTAATTGAGGACAGTGTAGATTAGGAGGCAGAGACTGCCCGGCTCTCTCTCACTCTCTCCTTGGCTCCTGAGAGTCTATAGTGTTAATGTTGGCTGAGTCATCTGGTAGAGGGTTTATCCCTTTCTCGCGGCTTTGGTTTTTCCTCCCTGAAATCGTGCATTAAAAATCATGGACACCATGAAAGGCATCAGAGTGGGACAAACCTTCAGTCTCTCCATCAGTGTGTCTCTCTCAGCCGTCACCTGCTGCATTTGGATTTCTGCCCGATTGAGCTCCTCCTTCAGGTTCACGAGGTCATCGGACAGATCTGAGCTACGGGCCAACCTCAGCTCATCCTGAACCTGAGACAACAACAAAAGAAAAATCACGTCTCTAACGTTGTAAAAACAATGTTCAAACTTGTACATTAGGGTCATCAAGACACCAGAATTTGAAGACAAATATCCAAAATCTGTTTTGATAGCAAGGCAACAAAAATAGAGAAGTCCTCAGCATCATTATTGGGTATATTTTGTTTTTAATTATCAATAATTGCAGGCAATATTGTCATGCAATCATTCCTCTCCTACGCACCCTTCTTATGAAACAGATGCAGTCTTTTTAAGTTTCTGTACTCATTGATGCTATCGTTCATTAAAATTAAAGTTCGTTTAAAAAACATGTGTTATCAAAAAGTATTAAAGTATTGAACATTTTGACACCCTAACTGGTTGATATTTCTCTCACTAACCTGTTTTAAAAGTTTTTTGAAATGGTCTCTCTCCGTGCTGAGAACCTTCACGTTGTTCTGGATCTCCTCCATGTGCCTCTCAAAGTCCAGCAGAGCGGCCTTCAGCTCGTCTCTCTCCTTCAGCACGCGGAGCAGCTCGACCTCTGCAGCACCGCCCTGGAAATATGAAACCATCACATGAATGCTCTTTTTCAATTTAACAGATAATAAATCAGGATTTTTTTCTTTCTGTCCTCTCTTACCCTCCTCACTTTGGACCGAGGACTCCTGCCTGGACTACGACTGGGGCTTGAATCCAGACCAGCAGCTCCTCTGATGCCCTTGTAGCGCTCGGCCTCCTGCCGATAATAATCTCTCTCCTCCTCTAGACTTTTAACAAATGCATCCAGACGTGACGGGGAGCGCTCTCTTCCACACACACCATGTTTGGCTCGCATAGCTTCCAGCTCCAGAACCAGGTCTTTGTCTGGGTGAGCAGTTTGTTAAACATTAATGTCAACACTTACAAAGCCACAGCAAGGAGAAGAGCATTCAACAGAATCAAACTGCTTCTAACCAGCTGCCGTCATTTTCTCCATTTTCTCCTGCAGCCTGATTTTCTCCTCCTCCAGGAAGTTCACCAGTCCCTCCATCTTCTCGTTCTGCTCTTTGAGCTCCGACATCTCGTCTCCCAGGCGGTCTTTTTCAAAGTCATGTTCTGACTGCTTCTGAATTTAATCATTTAAATCAGATTTGGTTACAAAGCAGAACAGGTACAGAGGTTTAAGACTGATAGATTTTTAATATCTGAACATACTCTTCTTGTTTTTGTGATTATATCCTCCAGGTTCTCAATGATTTTTTGCTGTCTCAGCAGTTCTTTCTGTCGGCAAAAGAGATTCAAAGAAAGAGTTTATCACGTGTTAACACTGATGCACATTTTGTTACCAAATAAACCATCTACATTCAATATCATACAAATTCAAATAGCCAGACATATTTAAGATATACTGATCTATATATTCATGACCTGCATAGATAAAGATACACATTTTGACTTCCTTTCTGCTTTCTCATGTTCTTACTTTAGCATCATGCAGCTCTATGTCAGCCGTCTCTAACACTCGCTCCTTGTCCATCTCCATCCGCTTGGCCAGGTCGTCGATGTGCGTCAGCTCTTCACACAGCTCCAGGTTCTTCAGAGACAGGTTGGCGACTTCTGTGGTGGCATCCTTCTTCTTCTGCTGCAGCCCCTCTACCTTCTCCTGCAAAGTCCTGTTGGACTCTTGCAGGTATTCAATCTGTAGAACGCAGCAAAGCTTGTAGAGACATCAATCATGCAGGTTACAGTTCTTCCAGATAACAAGGCTCAGCATCAAGTTAAAACCATGGTCCTGTTAGAGTTTTAAAGATACTTTGGGATCTAAATGACTTAAAGGCTTTGGTATTATTTAAGTACACTGCTTCAGCTGGCAGCCACTGAATAATCAACATCATCTTAGCAGGCAAATGTTCCCCATCAAAATACGTCCAATAAAGAGCACCTTTTTGCAATCGACAACCTAGAATTGTGATTCTAGATATACAGCAATATTACAGACAAGATCCCCATGTAGCCAGAAACAGTAACAACATCACTCTATTCAAAGACAGCAGACACCACGTCTGGTCTAATGCTGCCTGGAGAGGTAGGTTGGTTTGTCTTTTTGTCTGAACCTGTTGTTAAAATACTTATTTAGGATCCACCATGAACACACAAACAATCACACAACAAGCTAACCGAAAAGGCTGCAGTAGACCAGTAACTCCATTATTCTTCAAGGTTGAAATATTGTTTTAGTCAATTGAGTCTGGTGGATTGGAAGAGAGCGACGCAATCTATTTCTGTCAGGATCTTTTCTGTCATGTCTCAGAACAATCAGAAGCACTTTTTGATGCACTATGGTAGTACTTCACATTTGCAAATTTGTTTACTCCATTGATTACAACGCAGCAATTATAAGACCTTCAGAGGCTGAAGTAAACTACTGGAGAACTTTTAAAAGCTCTAACCCTTTTCAACATATAAAAACAACAGCTCAGTTTTAAAAAAATAATTGGAGAGCCAACCATGACAGAAAATCTATAAGTGTTTACAAATCAGGGTAAATATCCTACATGATCGCTTTGCTTACCTGAAGGTTAAGATGGTCGATCAGTTTCTCGTTACCAATGTTTTGAGCCTCTAGGGAAATGACATCATGAGGCCGTCCTCCGTGAAGAGTGCGATTAAGCCGCTCGATCTCTCTGTCCCTCTCTTCCACCTTAAACACAATAATGTGCTTATTACCTCTAAAACAACATTTAACATGTGAAAATGTGAAATTATTCCAATAATTGTATTTCTTACCTGATTATTTAAGTGTTTTATATATTCTTGAGCATTTTCCAGCTCAAGTTTGACCTTTATGATGTCTTCCTGAAGCTCATTAATTCTGCAAATACAGATAAAGGAATAAGTCAAAAATTAAGACATATACAATCCTCACATCCAAAAAGAACACAGTTTAGCTGTCAACAAACCTTCCATCTGCCAGCATCAGCAGGTCAGCGATGAACGGATCATCAGGCTGAGAGACAGGGTATGCTGAAGTAGAAGAGGACGGTATAAGCTCATCAATCTGCATTCTCTGACGTCTGAAAGGGATGCTGCGCTTCTTTCCACCTGTCAAAGTGTATCAGAGGAGAGAAGGATTCAGTTATTTATAGATTCATCTAGATATCTGATCTGTGCTCCTTATGAACAATGTTTCATGACAAAAGCACAGACATGTTTCAGCAGAAAAAGAAAAGTCAGAGACAGAGCTCAGGTTCAAAGCTCCTGGTGTTACCTGGCGTCTGCACCACAGCCTGCATGTTCTTCTCCTGCAGCTGCTGGATGCGTTCAGCTTTAGCTTTGCTGTCCTTCTCCAGGCAGCGGACTTTGTGCACATACTGATTATTCAAAAACTTCAGGTCGGACGTGTCGTGGTCTAGTTTTCGAATGTGAGTCTTGAGCTCTGAAACAAGATGCAGGAATTTGAATGTGCACAAGGTCAGAAATAAAGGTTTTTTTCCTCACTTGGTCACAAAAAAATGTCACCTAGCCTTAATATTGGGAGTCACCTCCTAATAGTAAACTTTCAAACTGTAAACAATGATACATTGATTAAAATATGGATTATCTATGGCAGCCTTAGTCATAAACATTTTTATCCTTTTCAGATACACCTGCTATGGTGTTAGCTGAACCAAGATATTTCTATTTCTAGTGGACATGTTTCCTGTATTTTGAAGGTGGCTGTTGCTAATTTCATTCCCGATGCCTGGGGTCCAGGTTGTGGGATAGAGCTTGAGCCTGTAGGGAGAAAGGGGGGTGGTGGTTTTACCTCTGGTGACTCGGTCCTTCTCCTCCTTCAGCTTCAGAAGCTCGAGGTGAAGCTCGTTGTTCTCCCTGACAGCTCGAGCATTCTCTGCCCTGTATGGCTCCAGGAGAGCATCGATGTTTCTGCTCTCTTTCTCAGTTTTCCCTGTTGACAGTTTGGCATTGCGCAGGCTTTCAGTAGTGTGGACCAGGTCACTGTAATACATAAGAAGACACATCTCATCACTAACAGCTCATAGCGTTATTGATGAAGAAGAGCAGGTGCAGGTTGGATTAAATGATTTACCTTAACAGTTTCTCCACCAGTGGCAGTGACTCTATCCCCAGCGGCTGTTTGTAGCCCAGCTGGTCCAGACGTTTCCTCAGGTTGACGAACTTCCTCTCTGCGCTGCTGTTCATGGCTGCGATGTGGCACTAAAACGAACATTAAACACTTACACTACTGTGGAATAAACATTACAGATAGGTAAGGACTTGTGTTGCGATAGGTTAGCTCATACACACACAGGAAATGTGCAGGATCAGTGGTCGGGGCTGAGCAACTAACGGTCCAGCAGGTGGCAGAGGACAGAACTCAATAATGACCAACCCCACTCACCCACTCCACGCCCTGAAGGTGATCAAGACCAGCACCTTCAGTCAGAGACTGATTGCACCAATATGAAAAACTGAGAGACACAGGAAGTCTTGTATACCAGCTGCTATAAGGTTTGATAATACACAAATTAGTATTTTTTTTTATTGTATTTTAACTTATGAAGTATGGACGCTATCTGATGAAATGTGTGGTGTTATGTCTGTCTTGAAGCTGTTGTGGCACTGTAATTTCCTGTACAGGATTATTAAAGGATGTATCTATGGTTAAACTGAAAGTTAAGATGGTTTACCTCGTGTTCTCATTTATCTGATGTTGGCTAACTTTACATAGCTAGCTTAAAGGCTAGTAAACAAATATTCTCATTACATGAAGATACAAGCTTCCTGTAGCATTAGCAGGTTACTTTAGCATTAGCTTCATTAGCTTGTAGCATTAGCCGGTTACTTTAGCATTAGCTACATTAGCTTGTAGCATTAGCTCGTAGCATTAAGCGTCCACTTACCTTGCTCGATAGGACGCTGCTATCCTGACAGCTAGCCTCCGTTAGCCTAACTAACGTCAACTTCGAGCATCTTCACCGGCATAAACGTCTTTTCAGAATCCGTATCTTTCACCAGAGATGCATTATGGCTTGATTTATGGTTCTTCGTTAATGTTAAATAGTGAAAAACGCTGGAGCTGACAGCTTTCCGCGATAAAGTGGTTTGAAAAGAGCGCCGATGAGCTCCGGGTTTGCATTCGTCACCATGGAGACTGGAGTACCGGGATAGCGCCTGCTTTGTGAACCGGCGTTGACCGTACAGAAGGAGGAGGGGGGCGGGGTCAGCTGAGGCCATAGACTATATTCAATTTTAATTCAATTCAATTTTATTTGTATAGCGTCAACTCATAACAAGTGTTATCTCAAGACATTTTTACAAAAAGCAGGTAAAATACCTTACTCTTTGTCTGTTAACATTACAAAAGAGCAGGTAAAAAGACCTTACTCATTGTTATATTACAAAAAGCAGGTAAAAGACCTTACTTATTGCTATATTACAAAGACCCGGCCTATCCATCATGAGCACATTAGCAAAGCAGCAAAAGTTACAGTGGTAAGAAAAAACTGCCTTATTAAAAGGCAGAAATCTTGGAAAGGGATAGGGGGAGAGATGGGATAAGATGCAGGAAGAGGGATAGGGAGCAAGGGGGTGGGGGGAGGCAAACCGTCCATCAACAATCCGGTGGGGAGGGGGGGGGGGGTTGTTCTGGCAGGCCGTTAACCAACGATCCGGTGGGGAGGGGTTGTTCTGGCAGGCCGTCAACCAACTATCCGGTGGGGAGGGGTGGGGTGGGGGTTGTTCTGGCAGGCTGTCAACCAACGATCTTGAGGAGCCTAAGAGAGCTCAAGAGCTCTCAGGAAAGTAGGTGGTTAGTGACTGAGATTTACAGATAGATACATGCAGTAATATGATGTACTGTATATGCACACACAGAGAGAGAGAGAGAGAGAGGAGCTCAAGGTGCCAGTTCCCCCGGTAGTCTAAGCCTATAGCAGCATAACTAAGAGCTGGTCTACACCAGCACTAACTCTAAGATTTATCAAAAAGGAAAGTTTTAAGTCTATTCTTAAAAATACAGACTGTGTCTCCCTCCCGGACCCCGGCTGGAAGGCGGTTCCAGAGGAGAGGAGCCTGATAACTGAAGGCTTTACCCCCCATAGTACATTTAGAGACTGTAGGTACCACCAGCAGGCCTGCACTCCGGGACCGCAACGCTCTCAAGGGACAGTATGGCACTAGTAGCTCCTTAAGATAAGATGGTGCCTGGCCATTTAGAGCTTTGTAAGTGAGAAGAAGGATCTTGAATTCTATTCTAGACTGTATAGGGAGCCAGTGCAGAGAAGCCAGGACAGGATTGATGTGGTCCCTTTTCCCGGTTCTGGTCAGTACACGAGCTGCAGCATTCTGGACCAGTTGAAGAGTCTTTAGAGACTTGCCAGAGCACCCTGACAAAAGAGAGTTACAATAATCCAATCTGGAGGTAACAAATGCATGAACTAGTTTTTCTGCATCATTTTGCGACAGGATATTCTTGATCTTGAATATATTACGAAGGTGAAAATAGGCTGTTCTTGAAACTTGCCTTATGTGAGAGCTAAAAGACATATCTTGAGCAAATAGAACTCCTAGATTCCTAACAGTGGTGCTAGATGCCAGGCTGATGTCACTAAGGACAGTCAAATCACTAGAAAAAGTCTCTCTGAGGTTCTTAGGGCCTAGCACAATAACTTCAGTCTTGTCTGAGTTAAGTAGCAAAAGATTTCTGGTCATCCAGGTCCTAACGTCCTTAAGGCACGTTTCTAGCTGACATAACTGACTGGTGCCATCGGGCTTCATTGATACATAAAGCTGAGTATCATCTGCATAACAATGAAACTGTATGGAGTGTTTCCTCATAATATTTCCCAGAGGAAGCATATATAATGTAAAGAGAATTGGTCCAAGCACTGAACCTTGTGGGACTCCATGGCAAACTTTAGTGTGCATAGAGGACTCACCATTAACATGTACAAACTGAGATTGGTCTGATAAGTAGGATTCAAACCAACTTAAAGCAGTCCCTGTAATTCCAAGTAAATGCTCCAGTCTGTACAACAGGATCCAATGGTCAATGGTGTCAAAAGCAGAACTAAGCTCTAACAAGACGAGCACAGAGAGAAGTCCCCTGTCTGAAGCTAGAAGTAGATCGTTTGTAACTTTAACAAGTGCAGTCTCAGTGCTATGGTGGACTCTAAATCCTGACTGAAACTCCTCAAATAAACTGTTGTTATGGAGAAAGTCACACAGCTGATTAGCTACCACCTTCTCCAGGATCTTCGAGATAAAAGGAAGGTTGGATATAGGCCGATAGTTAGCTAGAGTTCCTGAATCTATCTTCATATTGTTTGTGAAATTTAATGATCAAAATGTGTTGGGTTTTTAGTTTTTTTAGTTTTAGTTTTTCTCTAAATTCTTTGTTTTTATTATTATTACTTAAAACAATAATAGCAATTGTTACAATTAGATATATTACAAGTGAATAGACATTGGATTTGTGTTTTTTCTCTTATTTCTTTCTCAATCGTTACTTGGCATACGTACTATTATTGTAATTATTGTTACTACAATTTTTGATGCTGTTGTTAATAGTATTATTATTAGTATAGTTGTAATATACTTATATTATAACTATATAGAATTGCCTAATTGATATAGGGGTATATTAGAAGTACACTTGCTAAATCTATTTAAGTATATACATCTAGATTTTCTCTGGTTATTCATGTATTATTATTATTTTTTAAATTATTATTATTTATTTATGTCCCTTATGTTTTTGTGTCTGTTTGAAACACACCACAAAATGTTCATATTGACAGTGGATTTTCTTGTAAAGTTTATGTTTTCCTAATAAACAAATCTTTAAAAAAAAAAATGTGTTGTTTCAATTTAATACTTTTAATAATTGAGTGTCTGATCTGTGTTTGTGAGCATCCTCCTTTGAACTAAGATTTTTTTTGTAAGCTTGCATCAGTGCCCTCTGGCTCTGGCTTGCATGTAACCAGCCAATCACAGGGACTCTGTAGGGAGAATGTTTGAGTTGCCTGGCAACAGTCAAGTTTCAAACAGACATCATCCAACTTCTAGGCTGTGTCCGAAAACAAATGCTAATATAGTGCCTACTACCGCAATGCATTGTGGGGCAGTTTAGTATGACCAGTGTGCTAAAGTTTTATACTTAAAAATTCTGGCCAATCAAGTATACATCCGGGCATTTCTCGCATACACAAATTAGCCAACTGCTTATTTAACCTCAGGAATCCATTGTTCAAAAGGTCTTATCAGGATCAGGTTAGAGACTTTAAGGATTACCAAATCAAGATTACAAGAGCTTTGAAGGGGACTTTACGTTGCATATTTTGTCCACAGGGGGCACCAAAATTCACACAAACTGAAAGATCCTCACAGCTACTTTAAATCTTAAAAAAATATTTGACACAGCTTTGAATGAGTCAGCAACTGTGAATTTATTATGTACATACTATATGGCATAAAGAAATAAAAATATAAACAAAATACAGAGCAGATGTTTGAATCGTAAGAGAACAGGCACACACAAGATGCAGGTAAATCTGCATCACTTTCATTAAAATACACACATACATACACAGGAAATGTGCAGGATCAAAGATACATTAGAGACTAGTTTTTGAGAAGCTAGTGTATTTTCTGCCAGTGTGAGGCAGCAGTTACTCAAAGTGCAGAGCAGTTAAACTAATGAGACTGAGCGATGCTGGAGAAATACTCCAACATGTCCTGGATGGTGAACTCCATGGTGATTCCTGATCCAGGGTAACACCTTCCGATCAGGTCTTCAAAGTGCTTGTACTGGCGGATGAACTCATCTTGCATGGAGTGCCACACCACCTGGTGGAGTCAAACAGAAAGTGCAACAGCTTGAAAAAGGAAGTGAGGACAGCTTCAATATGAATCCAGAGATATAAAACAAAGGATACGACCTCATCATTCTGAAGTTGAACTGTTTAGCAGCTGTCTTACCTTGATTAAGTCTTAAGCTGGCTATTATTTAAACCAATGGTGACAGAGACAGAGGCTTTTACCCATACATACAAAATAAATCTCCAAAATAGTCTATTCTGATGTGTGACGGTGACTCTTGCCTGCCTGGTCATTTATTTATAGCAAATAATCCGATGTTGTAAAACCATAAAAATAGGGCTGCTTATGGGCGGTGACTACAAACTAAACCCATGTAAGACTTAAAATGATTGAGCCCATGAGTTATGGTGTAATGTCACAACTTGTGTTCTCTAATGATATGTTACCTGTAGCAGACTTTCTTCTTCACACAGGTGTTTGTCCACCTTCTTGTACAGGTTGTCCAGGCCCTTCTTCACCTCTTTTCCGGGATATTCTTTGATGACTTTTCGCAGCTCTTGTTTGTTAAAGGCCAGCTGGTAGCTCACTTCCTCCTCGCGAACACCCTGAGCTACACGAGCCTCGACTCCTTCAAAGAAATGCTGCGGGAGAGACAGAAAGTGTTACAAAATGCTCTCATAGCTGCAGGGGAAACTTGGTGATATCTCTTCTTTTTTTGGGGGGGGGGGGGCAGGGATAATAATAATATATAATACTAATGATGATGAAATGGTGGAATGATATGATGGAATGGAAGTAACATGTAGCCGAAAACTTTGGAAGAAGGGAAAAACAATAAAAAAAAAAAAAAAACTACCAAATAAAGAATAAACAGATAAAAAGTTTACGTGATGGTGTTTTGAAATTGAACAGATGATGTGATGCCTGATGTATATCGAAAGCAATAAAGGGAATAACATTATAAATCAAATAATTGTAAGAATAGAAAAAAAAAAAAAAAGTTGTAGTAGTAAATAAAGATAAAAGAAAAATAAGAGAGGAGAAAAAAAAAAGAGCAAAAATAAATAATTATGTAAATGACAAGAAAAATATATAAAAATACAATGTTTCATATCTAATAATGATAATAATAAAATTAAGTAATAAAAAAAAACAACAACAAACTTGGTGATGACTCTGACTTACATTGAGTTTTTCTAGAGGCTGTCCCAGAGAGTTGATGACGTAGGACTGCAGGTGGTCGGTGTACTTGTGTTTGGCCTCTCGTCTCTCTGAATCCAGGCAGGAGATCTTTAAACGAGACAGTGTGGAGAAGATCTTGTGGAAGTTCTCCATCATCACAACATCCCGTGGTGTCTTCTGGCTTTCGTTGGCTACTTTCTCCACTGAAGAGAATTAATAATAAAAAAAAAATATATATATATATATATTCAGGCCTTTGATTCCTGATGTCACATAGATGAAGTAGAAACTTTTTGGTTCAGCAGCAGTCTCACCATTCACAAAGACGGCTCTAATGAGTTTGACATAAGCTTTGTCGAGGTCCCCTCGGCGCTCCGCGTTTCGGAAGATCGTTTCCGCAAGCTCAGCAAACTCCTCGAAGTTGGTGACAAAAAGCAGAATACCCACTTTGCTTTTCTTAGAAATCTTCACTTCCTCCATTTGCCTGATCTGACCGGACTGTGAAAGAAAGAAAGATTATATTAAACATAAAGACGTCCTTATTATATTACATTATTGTATTGAATTTGAGCACAAAAGAGTGAAAAGTAATCATGTTAAATCTGTTTAGAGTTCAGGTACTTCTATTTTCTAGAAACCAAAAGAGTACCTGTAAAATGTATTAAACAGCTCTGCAATGCATTCAGAAAAAAAAGCAAACGGCTAATCATTATTCAGCAGCTATTCACTTCTTAGAGTTTCTGTAAGCTCAAATTCTTTATGAAGCTTCAGGATGCACAAGGCTTTCTAAGTATTACCCCTTCTTTAACTTATGTCAATACTGTCCATTTACTACTCTGTTTTTGAACATTTACATTTAATCTTCCATATTTAATCTTTCTAGTAAGTAAGACTAGTAATTCTAAGTTAAATCCTGGTTGTATATATTCACATTCTTAGTTTTGATATTTTTAGTGCTTATTTACTTTGTATTTAATATTATATTGTGTTTAGATTTGCTAATATTGATGTTTTTACTCATATTGTGTGTTGGATAACCTGTTGCTGTATCGCCACAATTTCCCAGTTTGGGATCAATAAAGTAATTATATTCTATTACCCTATTGGCTAATCAAAGATGAACCGATAAATGCTTTCTACTATGCAGAAATAAAACACTCCACACGTCTTTGTTAAACACACCAGAACTGATAAAAATCATAAACTCCAAGTCACTCTCTTCTAAAGAATTAAAATGCATCTCGTTTTGGATGGAGTTTACATTCTACTAACTTTTAGGTGTTGCACCAGCTGAGATAGTTCAGAATTTACATCTGAAATCTTAAACCTAGCTCCTAGTAGGTGTAAAGTCCTCTGTAAGATACGGTTGTCATGGTGATGGTTCTGAAAGGTGGGATAACTTGGAGGATGAGGAGGAGCAGTGTGTTCTCTGTGATAGATTACATCCTTTAAAAAAATATGATGACTTTGATTTCAACTCCAGAGATAACAGAGTACTGTTACATGACCAAGATTTAGTTAAAGAGTTCACCACTCGATGTCACTGTTGTTGTGTTACACTAGCTGTATATGAAGGCTGTGGCTATTCTTATCAACTAATCATCAAACATTTGAGTCTGTGTTTGTGGATTAACATCAGTTAACAGAATTTATTTCCAGCCATTAGTCCATTCAGAGACAAATAAACATGAGGGGAACCACTGGAATGAAAGGCTTTATATGTGATTTTTTTGATCCAGTAGATGTCGCCCTTGAGCACCAGCATGAAACCAAAACAACTCGCGCTGCATTGTTGTGTTAGCATGCTAATGCTAGCGATCTTTATTATGCTGGTATCTTCACACTGCATGTAAATTTACCTGAAATGAGCGTGATCTAGAAACACAGTTAAGCAGTGAGTACAGTATGTTATTCTTCTTTTCTCCAGTCCCTCAATTAAACAATCTTTTATACACGAGGGGAGGAGTCAGCCGGCTGTCCTGACGATGTAAACAAAGTGAAGATAGGACTCTGAAAACTCTGAAAGCATCACAGACAGTGGGACTCGAGTGTTACACCCATTGTAGACAGTCATGACTCACAGAGTTATTTTCAGAGGATATACTTGATTTATATTATATTTAAGTGTGAAAAATCACATATAAAGCCTTTAAGAACAATGCTGCTCTCTGATTGGTCCCATCGAGTTAAAAGCTAATTTCTAACACAATATTTTGGTTAGTTTGGACGTGGAGCTCTACTGGTTTAGATGAACCTTACCTTTCTGTGGTAACCAAACAATGACAAAGTTTAAGTTACCAACAGTTCATATGTACGGCCGCAAAGTTTCTTGAGAAAACATTTTTGTATGAATTGTAAAAATTAAATGCTTGATTGATTGTTGGAGGCAGCCTCAATCACATATTTCAGTAAATTGAATGACAGCTTCTCTTGCTGTGGCATTAAAACTGTGGGACAGATGACATTAGATCCAGCTCACTATGGCTGATGGTGATAATCTACTCCGATACTGATCAGCCAGTTCAAATTGGGACATCTTAAAATTTTCAGACAAACAAAACTTCTGTGCACTCACGATACATTTGTCAAAGTTCCTCTTGACAGTGACCAGCACGTTCCCCAGAGTGGTGCTGAGGTACGAGGCCGGGTCGACGTTCTCGGCTGTCCACACGTGGTGACTCATCTTCACCAGCATGTACAGAGAGTTGAAGCTGTCGATCTTGTCCCCCAGAGCGATGAGACTGTTGAGCTCCGTCTCGATGCTCTGAAAGATTTTATTCATCATCAGCCGCACCAGGTCTTTCCTGGAGACAGAAAAGAAGTGAAAGAGACAATATGAATAATGTTTTCTGGCAGTGGAGACGGGTTGTATCAGCAGAAGTGTAAGCTGATGAAGTGACGATACTCACTCTGATGACAAAGAGTGTCTGTGTTCAGCCTGGGGGGCAACTCTGGATGGCGTGCCACCGTCTAATTCTTCTGTTTCAGGCTGACGAGAGAAGAGACATAAAACATGACAAAACTGAACAAACATCTGCCGACGTATGTCTGAATGATGCTGCAACACATTCATGCGTCTGTTGTTGCTGTAGTAAACCACATAAATCAAACAACTAGACAAGAAAAATAATCTAATATGAAGTGAAAACACACATGTCAATAGACGCTGACCTAAGGGGAGGAAGAGACAGTTTAAATGATCCTCCTGATGCTGTTTCCAGCACCTTCTCTCTGATTTACCTGAGCGAGAGGCGGGGTAACTGTCGGGTGCTGCTGCAGCTTAAAAAACTTGCTGATGAAGTCTTGTTCTGCAAGACACAGCGGCTCCAGCTCGCTGAGGACCTGCTCAAATATCTACTAAGACAAAAAAAAACCATTTAATATTTGAATACAGAGCAATAGATGTAAAACAGCTGGATAAAAATAAGTAGAAAAACAAGAATACATTTTCATTACACGTATAGACAGGGTTAAAGGATTTCAAATTGTTCGATAAGTTGAGCTAAAGTGAGTGGCAGCTCAGGTAGCAGCTTCCTATCCAGACATCCTGTGCCTGCCAAAGAGCGTACAAGAAACAACAATTTTAACTTCAAGTTTAAACACTTAGTGTTTTTACTTCATTTAATTACTGCGGCTGTTTGTTGGTGAGAGGTTGAGACCTTGGTGAATAATTTTGGCTTACATGAATTGAAAATGATGAACTCTAAAGCATCAGGACCAAAAACAATCAGAGCGCCTCAGCAGCTCAGCTTGCAGCCTCTTCAAATGTTATGTATACAGAATAGCATCATGGGATCAAGTATTTAAACGTGAAAGGTGTGTTTGTTTTACTTGTTATTACTGGCTTTACTTATGAAACAGCCATAACATGTGTATCGGATAACTTCACTTCTTAACTGCATTTTTTTCTAAAGTTGAACTCTTTTGGTTTCTTCTTCCTACTTTAGTTTTTTAGGAAACTTCTCAAACAGGAAGCATTATCAAATAGTTTTGCCACTTTGTACAACCTACATGGATCTACATAGATGTATCCCCATTCCACATTTAATAGTTCAGTTTTAATCTCTGGCCGTGTCACCTTGTCAAACTTGGTCCTGTCGGCCACGTCCAGGTCGGACGCAGACATGTTGCCCATGTCGAGCAGCGAGGAGGACTGGGAGCGCCGGCTGTTGGCGCCCTGCACGGTCAGCTTGTTCAGACTCGAGGTGGAGCCTGTGAGCTTCCCAGAGCTGCCGTGAAGGCCTGACAAACAAATACAGCAGGATTCAATGTCACAGGTTAACTGAATGGCAAAGAGTCAATCTGCAGGCTTGTGTGAGTCAAATATGAGATACACTTAGTAGAAAAAAATCCTACAGAAAATTGTTTGTTTTTTAGTCACTTATCAGAGTATGTGGTGATGCATTCAGCTGCTGTGGGAAGATTTAGCACCAACCAACACACTACATGGGGAGGTAATAGTTGTCAGAGCTTAAAGTGTTATGTATTGGGATTGCAGGGATTCCTTTTAGTGCAGCTGTGTAAGGCAAAGTGGAAAAAAAAGCAGAGAGGGTAATTGACAGAGAAAAGGCTCCGTCAAATTGTCATACTTACTTTCTGTTTCCTGTTTGAGTGCACTCTCTTTCCGCGGAAGCGTGGCTGCAGCCAGTTAGAAAAGGCAGGCATCAAAGACAGAGACAGGTTAGGCTCAAAACATGCAGCATGGGAAGGGGTTTGGGGGGAGGAGGAGGAGGAGGAGGCTAGATGTTAGACGTACACAGCTACAGATATGCTGACGTGCACTGCAGTGGTTGAGGTGTGCTCGTAGCTCAGACAAAACCTTCAGAAAACAAATTCTTTTTTTGTTTGTTTTCAGCAGGGGGAAGCTAACACAGAGTGCAGAAAGCAGAGTTCTCTAAAACAAGAGTCCTGTTAGGAGTTTAAATATTCAAATGTGTAAAGAGTTGAACATGTAAGGTACAATTGGGAAAAGAGTCGCCATCAGAGTAAAACAACAGGCAGGAAATTAGCTTGGGAAAAAATGCTTTGAGAACTGACATTACACAGAAAAAATCTGTAAAAAAATAACTCTTTTTTTTTTTTCTTATAACATTGCTTTTTAGTTTACAACACGAATACTGCAAGAGAAGATCCAGAGATGCAGTACAATTCTTAATGCCTTGAAGTGAACAACAAGTCAACAATAGAAAAAGAGAGACTTGAGTAAAAAAGAAGAAAAAAAAAACAACCTAATTACACAAAAAAACAGACATGTGTCCTGACACCTCTGATATGAATCCCTCTTACCAAACTTGCCCTTGGCTTCCTTTGTTGTCCCCGCCATCTTTATCTTTGCCACCTCAAAGAAGTCTTTGATTTCTCGTTCGTATAATCTGCTCATGTAGTCAACGTAGGTCTGAAAAAAAAAAAAAGATGACATTTGTTTGGATGCAAACAACAATTCTTAAGCACTGAACTTTAAAGGCATCACACATTTTCTTTTACTATTCCTAGAGTAGATTGTCTGTAAGACAAGTTAAAGCCACTGAAGCGTATAAAGACTGAAAACCAGGACAGAACATTTCCTTCCATTTGACTCGGTTATGTGGATCTTATTTTTCACATAAAGGACTTTTGCACAGCTTTGACATTTAAACATAGGTTCTATCCTACAGATCATTTGTCAGTAAAGTCTCACTGACCCTGGACAGACCCTCGTACTTCTCCCTGTGTGTGTTCTTCAGCCACTCCATGAGCTTGGCGTAGCGCAGCAGGTCTCTGTGGAGGGGGCTGTGTTTGGGCAGGGTCAGCTCGGCCGTGTGCTGCGACAGGGTGGAGCTCTGATCATGACCCTGAGTGACAGAGAGAGGGAGACACTCCATTATGGAATATGAAGAATAAATAATCCAATGTCTAGCCCCATTATATCTCTCTTTATTCACACAAACACATGGGGATAAATTACCTCGCTTTTGTCCACAAATATCTCTAAGTAGGATACGTTACCTCCTTTTTACCTTGACACTGAACGCGTTCAAGGTTAAACACATTTTCAACCTTAAATTCAACTCATTTGTAAGCACTCACTTCCCCTCTTACTGTTCAGCATCCACTGTTTGTGCTGTGAGACATGCATGCAGAGCAGACAGACAGGCACAGGGGTTTAATGATGTGAGATCTTTCGCACTAAAGCCAAGTTAGCACCCAAACACAAACAGAGCCCTCAGCTGAGTGCAGACCGCCGATGAAGGACGAGGAAGATGAGCGGCACCCCTTTGCAGCGTTGAGATGTTAGAAACGTATCTCATGCGTTCATATTAAGCTGTGAAAGGCTCTCTGAGGTCATGAGATGTGAGTCGGTGTGAGATGCCAAACATTAGCAGAGAGGGGGAGGGGGGGCTCAGTGGGGGTGCTGTGAGGGTACTCACTGGAAGCGACAGACAGGAGGACCTATAGAACTGAGGGATGGTCATTTTGAAGTGACTGAAGTGGTTGAACTGACACAGAGACAGAGAGCAGAGTGGGATGATTCAGAGTGAGCCACACAGAGAGAGAGTCAAAGGAAAGGAGGAACACAACGAGAAGGAAACGACGAAGCCCAGGAACAGAGTCAGGGAAAAACAGGAAGTCCATGAAGGCGGAAAGAGAGAGAGAGAGAGAGAGAGAGAGAGAGAGAGAGAGAGTGAGAGAGACTGCAGCGCTCTCTGACAGAGCAGACGAATCCATAGGATGACAAAAGGTCATAAATCTGCAAAACCATCCCTGCTCCCTCCCTCCTTGTTGACTGTTATGTCATATTCTGAGTGAAATGTATTTGACTTTAACATTACAACAGAAAAACTTGACAGAAACATGAGCTGTCATTAAAAGTAACACATGAACACCAAGATTGTTTATACTCATTGAACTCACTTGATGATTTTAGTCCATTGTAGGCTTTTTCTCACACTCTTGTTTTTATTATTCCTATTACCGGTAATTGTGTTAGCTTCTCATAAAGCCCCTGATTGTTGATTTTTTATTTTTTTTTGGGGGGGGGGGTGTGTTGAATGTCTTTTAACTGATTCTGTAATGACTCGATGTCACTGTAAATGAGGGATTACCCCTCAGTGATCTCATGAGTGTAAATAAAGGTTGAATTGAAATGCAAGTCAAAGATGTTTTCTGCAGTGGCATATCTCTCTGACAGATTTGACATTCCTATATTTTAGATTCTGATAAATCTTTAGTGAATGTATTTTGACCGCTTAATGTAGAACTAGAGTTATTTAGTGTGATCTAGTTATTCCAAACCTATGGGATGGGTCCCTCCAAAGGTTCACCAAATTAACCTGAGGGGTCCTGTGACCATTAGTGTGAGAAATGACAAACAAAAAGTTTTAGATCTGACCCACAGAGTTATTTTAGTGTATTGAATCTTTGATTTTTGAGGGTTTGGAAAAGTGAAGCTTTTCAGTTATTTTGTAAACTGTAAGGAAACAATACAAGGAGATTAGTGGCCACTGGTTTCTCCTGAACAACCCCTTTTATATATATTTATTCATCTATTTGAACTTTAACTGAAGCACTCTGAAGTATTTCTCTATGATAACTTACAAATGAATTAAAATATGAAGAGTATCAAGAAACTACAGCGATCACATTCATGTTGTAAAAAAGTTTTTTTTTGCTGAATTGTTGGAGTAAAATGACTCAAGCCCAAGTACAATGAAAATCTCCCTTCTTTACTAACACCTTTGTATATATTTAAAGCAAAAGGAACTGATGTGAACACCTGAAACAAGTAAGGACATAACTCAAAGAAGACCTATGTAAATGAAGCTTAGAAATCAATGCATCACTTTCAAACAGGTTCCACTCTCTGTCAGAACCAGGGCTGTTACCTGGTGAACAAACACATTGTTGAGGTGATTTGTGAGGCGGCGGGCGAATGTGTCTCTCAGTTCTGCAAACAGGAGCTGCTGCTGCGTCACAGCCATCAGTTTCTCGTGACCTGCAGGAAAGAAAACACAAAAAGACTTTCTTTTATACTGACTGCTAAACAACAATGTGCATTTCTAAACAATAAGTATATAGATGTTGTTCTCATATCTGCCAGTAAACACAGAAAACATCTTTATTTATCTGTATTGATTTATTAGAAAAATGGGCAGATGTATGAACTAACCCGGTCTGAGGGCGACATTCATGCATTGAGACAGAGCTTCAGAGGCATTGATGCACGCCTCGATTCCTTTAGGAGACATCAGGTCTCCCTCCTGCAGCGCTCTGATGTGTCCCTTTGACAGGTCCATGTAGTTCTGAAAGAGAAAAAAGAAACAGCCCAGTCATCAAATTCAGAGCACAATTATATTAAGGGTTATATTTTGCACATTTACAGCAGGGCCCCTAATTTTGTTACAGAAAATGATCAAAACCATCTTAAATATCTAAAAAACATCTAAAAAATTCTCATCCTCACTACTAAGAACTGGATCTCGTCGAGCAGTTTGCCATTGTTGGTGTTGCTGATCTGGATCAGGCGGTTGCTCTGGGAGATCTGGTCCATCTGCTCCTTGACGCTCTGCAGCATCTCCTCGTAGCTGCTCAGCTTCCCCTCGATGGTGTCCACCTCCGACAGAGCCTCGTCCAGCAGCTGCATCAGGATGTTCACCTGCTTCTCCGACGCCATGATGGACTGGATGTTGGCCTGAAAGTTGGGGGACACGTATTGCTTATCTATCACACTATGAGTTACCTTACAGTTCCCACCGCTGATATCACTTACATATATACAGGATATCCCTACAACCTCCCTGAAGAGATAAGACTCACAGATTCCCTCAATTATTTTAAATCCCTTCTTAAAACATACTTTTACAGACTTGCTTTTATGTGATGTCGTCTTCTTAATGTCTTTTCTTAATGGTTTTACTATTTTTATCTTCTTTTACTTTTTACTGTTCTTACTTCTTACTGTTCTTTTATTTATGCTCTTTATTTATGCCCTTATCTCGTATTTATGCTCATATCTTAACTCATCTTATGTTTTAACTTGGTATTTTTTTTTATCTTACTTACTTTGTCTATTTATGTTTTATATGTGTATATGCTTTTTATTTGTATTAATATTATTTATTTTTTGATAATCTATTCACTTGTTTCTATTTCTTTTACTGCTCTTACCTTCTTATTGCTGTTATCTTTTGATTTGCTTTTAGCTCTTATAGCTTCTTACATCTTTTTAAATCTTTGGTCCTCTTGGTCTCAGCTTGTGTTGTTGGGTTCTTGTGATGGTTCTTGTGTTGCCTGGGTTCTTATGATGGTTCTTGTGATGGTCGGGTTATATATGTCTGTTGGGTATCGTGCACTATGGGTTCTTTTCTGTTGAATTGTATTTCATTATTTTTAGTATTTTGCATTTGTTATGTTCTTGCTGTTGTTAATGTTCTTCTGTGTTTGGTTTAGTTTGCTTTGTTCTTGTTTTTGCTGTTTGTCAAAGCACTTTGTAAACCTGTGTTTTTAAAAGGTGCTATATAAATAAATAAAGTTATTACAATCTATGTAATAAATATACTTGATAAAACATTTTGTCATTCTTTTCACTCACCCCGTCCAGGACCTGCAGCTCCCTGCTGAGCTGCTCTGCGAAGGCCTCGGCATTGGAGATGGCGTCCTCGCACACCTCCATCATGCCCTCAATGTCCTGCTCTTCTCTGGTGCTCAGTTCCTGGTAGTCGTCCAGAGCGTCCTCGTCGCCCCCAGCAACGCTCTGACTCTCCCCGCTTGGCACCGACTCTGATCACCACAAACAGATGCGGGGAATGTTTGTTAAGAAGACAGATGAGGAAAGTTAAAAAACGCACAATCTGGTATCTAACAAGACAAGACGACTACAGATGACAAATACAAACAAACGGTGAGATGTAGTTCATGGTCAAGTCTTCAAAACACATTTTAAATAAACTCAACTGAACTACAGTTTCTCATTCTCCAACAGTGATGCAAAGAGTAAAACTGCATCTTAAATCTAAATTAATCCATATCTCATTCTTTATTACTCTTCTGTTTGATCAAACAATAAAACTTTGATAATCTAATTGAAAAAACACAGCTGCACACTTCTCAAAAAAACTACAAATACTGCCTACAAGTGTCTGATAACATAAATGAATGAACACGTGTAGATAAATAATCCTATGAATAAAAGGTGGAATGAACAATTACGACATGAGCTACATGTGTGATATGATTGTTAAAATAAATCATGCCAGTCTGTATTTGAGAGTGAATTATTTCAAACAGAAGGAGCTTTGAGGAGGTGACAGTGTCTGATGAGAAAGGATGGTTTAAGGTCATGAGTTTTAAAAATGGAGCGAGGGGTGAGGAGAGGGGAAGTTAAGTCCTACCAACCTTCCGCTTTAGGAAGTTCTGGCCAGAGAAAGTGTAAGAGAGAAAAGTGAGAATAAAGAGGAATTTAACACAGAAAGCCACAAAGCAAGATTACAAAGAAGAGGCTGAAAACACGTTTTGAACATGCTTTTAACAGATCAACCAAAATCCAGCAGCAATACAGAATAGAACCAGGTGACAGCAGCTCTCTCACTTGACATTCCAGGCACATATTTTAAACCTGAAACTGCTTTATTAAGAGTTTCTACAGGTTATAATCACCAAAAGGTCAAATTGTTCAAACACTTTGGGTTGTTTTACAGCTTCACTGCAGAGGATTTCTAAGGCAGCTAAGGACTTCACTGGACAGACGGAGCAAACTGTGAGCCTAAATCCTCTGGAGGACGTTTTTGGATGGATTGTTAAACAGAAAACCTTTTAGATAAACGAGACCAGTTTGTGACAGCGTGTCAGATCACTTTCACACTGTGAGGCACACAGAGCAGATTACTAATCATTAAATGCCCAACTTCAGGATATTTTAATACATTTTAATTTCTCTTTTTTTATGTCATATGTTTATTTATTTTATATATTACATATGAATATGTTGTTAATGTCTTCTTTTTAATTTGTCTTTTAATTCTCATAAAGTTATAAACGTTTTGTTTTTAAATCTGTGAAGCACTTTGAAATGTTTAATGAAGAACGATGCTCTGTGAATTAACAAGTTAAACTGCAGAGAAAAGCCAAATTTATGTAAACAGCAGCTCTGCTGAAGCCCCCTCGCTGTCCTGTGTGTTAAAAAGCATCTGAGGTGGTCACAACAAAGTCTTGCGTGCTTCTATTTCTGCTAGGAGTTGGTGCTACTCTGGAAACGTTTTTCTCCAGCCCAGAGCTTTGGCTGTGGAAACACAAAGAACTGGTGCTAGCTTAGGCACTGGCTCTGAACCAGCTCTGGAACTGGCTTAGTGGAGACCAGATTTACAGTACGACACTTATTTAAACACAGACTGAGGTTCTGTCAGAACAGACGACACTGATTTTAAACAGGAAACTTTTTTGTCTAATCTTTTCCTTTTTAAATAATCTTTAATTTAAAAAAAACCCATAAGAAGCCTATTTAAGTGCATTTTAATTAACTTCACTCTAAAGTTTGAATATCGACATTGATGATTTAGAACGCCCAGCTCTACCCCAAACATCCAACCAACACACACAAACACACGCTTTGCTTTAAGAAAGAGAGAGAGACAGGCCTTTAAACAAATATAATCAAATCATGGACAGAGGCATGCGCTCACAGAGGAGTCTAAAGAGAGAGGGAAAAAAAAGATTTCTAACCTTCCAGCAGCTGAGAACTGACATTCACAAACTCCACCTTCTTCCTCAGGTATCTCTGGTTCAGCTTCCAGATACACGAGATGAAGGAGTTTTTCTCTGCTGTGCTGCTGGCCACCCAGCGGTACACTTTCTCAAAGTGAAGATCGAATTCAGGATTCTCCTAAACCAGAGAAGACAAACATGAGCTCTAAACTATGGAGAAAGAGGACGTGTATAACAAGTGATTTAAGTTAAAAGAGATAGTTCCTCAGACCTTGCTCGCATCTTTGGCATCTACTTCAGTCAAATCTCTGAGCTCCCACGTCAGCTGTCTTTTATAAAAGTCTCCTTTGTCGGATTTCTTCACTTTAACCACTTTCACCTGGACAGGCCTCTCCGTGGTGACTGAACGAGGGAAAACAAGACAATACTTCAGGAACTTTTACTCAGATTACTTGGATTTATCTAAAGCTGTTTACAGAGTTAGCTCATGCACCTGTGGCACACAAGAAGCAGTTCTTCTTCTTCTTCCCCGCCTTGCAGACGTTGACGATGCCGAGGAGACGCTCGTCGTTGGGAGTGAAGATGTCCCTCTGGAGAGCATGCTTGATGGCTGTCATGGTGGATGCTGCCTATAGAACACATACCAGGATTTATTATTAAGATTAAGGGACCTGCATCCATTATGTATGTTTGAGTCACACACACAGCTTCAGTCATGAACACGGAAAACCAACTGATGAAGCCAGAAATCTGCGTGTAGTCACTGGCTCAGACCTGAATTTCAAAAGCCACCCTAGGACAGTTACAAAGTTGGCTTACTACTTAGTCTTAAAGATCGTATGTCCCAGCAGGACCTGAGAAAATTCTTCCATGCATTTATCTTCAGTAGACTAGATTGCAGTGACGGTGTCACTGTAATCAAAAAAAATGAATCAGACAACTGCAGCCGACTCCAGCACTGAATAGTTTAGGACTAAAATACTTTAGTGACCTTCTGATACTTTATGAACCATCCAGACCGCTCAGGTCAGATCTGCTTTCTTCCCCAGAGTCAGAACTGAACATGGAGAAGCAGCGTTCAGTTTTTATGCTTCGTATATCTGAACAAACGTTCAGAAACCTGCAGGTCTGCTGAGACTCTCAGTTCCTTAATATCAAGGCTGAAGACTCGCCTGTTGATAGCAGCCCTTTATTAAATACAGTTATCTAAATACTAGGGCTGCATGATAATGAAAAACGCTGACAATGCGATAACTTTCCATTCTACGATATATACTTCAATATGAAAAAAATACAGAAAATCTAACATGGAAATGACCTACATGATATAAGAAAATTAAGCAATGTTTGATTACTTTGTTCAATATTTCATTACCAAAATGAAGTGCGTTAAAAAATAATTAAAGAGTGTATGGCAGCTATAACTCAGCTTTTACGTCTATCTCTTTCTTCATGTTTACACGATACAACATGTTTCTCCCGAAGCAGAAAACAAACATAAACAACCGGCCTTTTCAACACTAAAATGGCACCAACTACTCAAGGTAGCTGATAATTAGATTTGGCTTTATCTGACGGCGTTAACATGTTGTTGAAGATGGCCTTAATACCTGGGTTCCATCAGATAGGTTAAATGTGCACATACTCTTTTAAATATTGTATTTTTTATTGCAAAAAAATCAGACTTCTGCAATGTGTTTTTTGTGATTGCTCATATTGCGATAATGATGCTTTTGTGATTTATTGTGCAGCTGTACTTAATACACATTTTAAATAAATAAACAATGGACTATTGCTCTTTTATTTTGAAACTGTCTTCTTATATTTGAGCTCCTGATTTTGATGCTTTACTTTTTTAATGTCTATTTATTTGAGTTGTTTTTATGCTTGTCTTATTATATTTTAGTTCCTATATTTATTTTATCTTCTCTTTAACCTTTAACTGTCAAAAATAATATCTCCAACATGTCCTCTTTATAATGTTTCTTTTTCTACTTGTCATGATATTTTGATGTCTTGTGTGAAGCACTTTGAATTCCCTTGTTATGATTTGTGATATAGAAATAAAATTGAATACTACTACTAATAATAATAATAATAAAATAATACTAATGATACTAATAATAAAATACAATTGTTCAAGACTAATTTAAATGCCTGGTTAAATATAATAAGAGGTTTGGTTTGATGAAGGTTCATCTTATCTCAGCACTTCACTTCCGGTCAGTAACGTTAGCTAACAGGATATCAGTGAATGTTAGCTTAACGCCACTGTGACCAAAACACGGCAGGAAGCACACAAAACAAGGTGTTAAACACGGCTGTGTTGCACTTTAATGTCTAAACTATGTCCCTCTCTGTTTAAAGCCTCTGATATCCTCTCTGTGTGTTAGCTTCATGCTAAAGATGATCTGTTTGTTTGAGGCAGCTAGCAGCTGTTAGCATCTGTTACGCTAGCTACGTATGTAACCAGCGGCAAACATCGAGATTACATTATCTGAAAAATAAACTTTTATTCGCTGTTGTATACTTAATAACGTTTATTGAGGGATTTATATTTAGTAACCAGCTCCTACCTTGTTTTATCAGCCCACCAGCCCTTAGCAAAGCACCACCCTCCGACTTCCGGGTTCAGCTGTCATGAGATTCAACAAAATGTGTCAACATCCGGTTCATCCTGATCCACCCACAGAGGGAGCATCTGATTTATCTTTTCAGCTTTATTATATGTGTTCAATTATAATTCAGCTAAGTATTTTTTTTAATTACTCACTTTAACACTGAATTTAAAAATTTTAAACTCTATTTTAGCAACAACATTTTTACAGAAACGTTTGATGTCCATTGTTTTCTAATATTATCTCCAAACATTGTCTGTGTATAGCCTGCCCCATACACTAAATACCCTGAATAACAAACAGAAAACAGTATGCCATATATGCTGATCACTATCTTGCTCATGTTCTCCTTTGAGTGATGATTATTAAAAGTTGGCTGTCGCTCAAAAGCACAGAAGTCAATGAAATATATAAAAAATGCCTTTAAACAAACCCAAACTTTATTCTGATATTTGGATAATAAATTATTGATTTAGCGTAGGCATGATTTAATATAGGCTATAAGAATTGAATTCATGGAGGAATCAAATGTGAAACAAAATAAATGTACATATACAACAAAAATGAAGAAAAATATTTAACATTATATTTTAAACAGTGATTTAATCTCTAAAAAACTGTATGTTGCTAGTACAGTCCTCAGGACACCAGGTGGCGTTATCAGTCCACATCTTAATTAGGATTTCTGTACCGCTTTTAGTTTCACCTTTTGAGTCTTTTCTTCTTTGTTGTAACGTAAAAGTGACAGAGCATCTTTAGCTGCAGCCCATAGAGGAATATAAGTCTGAATGTCAGTGAGTCAGAGATATGTGACAGAGAAGACGATTAACAGCAGATCTGCTCACAGCACCCTGAGGTGAACACAACACTGTTGAAGTTATTGTGCAGAGACAGACGCAGATTTCCCAGCTGGTGGACGTGTCGTGTGCTGTCATCAACACTTAAACTCAGCTCTTTGTTTGTGACTCATGCATGCAATGGAGATATTTCAAAACATATCCAAAATACAAAAAATGTATGGGTATGTCTACATTTTATTTCTGGCCATGTGCATAAAGAAAACTTGAGATCACATTTAATCATATTGTTATTATTCAAACAAAGAACACAGTGTGGAGTGGGCTGTGTAAAATCCTTTGAGGTGTCTTTTGGCTGCTTGCTGCTGTCATGAGTACGAAATGTTGACTCAGAAGTGTCTTAAACTCACTGTCATTCTTAAATGGCTGAAAATGATTCATATTATGTCATAACAGCTTTTGAAAAAAAGACTGCATGTTTCATTTATTTACCGAGTTGAGTCCTATAACATCAAGAAATTGTTTAATCAGAATCAGAAATACTTTATTAATCCCAGAGGGAAATTCAAAGTATAAATTTCTTATTTTCAGAGAATATACTAGTTTGAAGTGATGTTCACATAAATAAATAGGTTTAAAAAAAAAGAAATGTACAATTTATTTAACAGCAACTTGCAACTGATCAATTTAGGGGCTGATCAATTGCAATTGAAAATCATAAAGTTTAAGAAACATTTTTTGCCAAACATTTTGCACCATTATATTTGTATTTTGTATGATTGTATTTTCTATTTTTGTACTATTACAGTTTGCATCGTGGGGTCAGAGAGAAATTATTTTTAAATTTTTCTGCATGTCTGGTACATATGGCAACAACTGACAATAAGGCTGACTTTTAATATTAACTATTTCATTATCTGTAAAACTGTTTTTGTAATTTACAGACTGCAATACCCAATTTGCAATGTTTTCTGCATTGGAAGAACAAAATGATGTCTACAGGACAGACAGCCAGAACACAAATATGCCATCCTGACTGGTAATGTAAATGGCCCTATGGGAAGTTTGGGAACCACGTCATTAGACCATCTGTGTCCCCTCCAGGATGTTTTTAAATCTGCAGAGTTCAAGAAAAGAGCCGGGAAAGGATTCCTGTTCTCACCTGAGCAAACAAAGATCTCTGACTTCTTGTTAAGTTCGCTTTATGATTCAGTGACTTCATTGTGCTTAAGTCGAATATATGTCAGACGTTTTGTTTTTAAGACAATGTAATTCATCCATTTCTACATGTAATTCCACTTCCTCAAGGACAGAATGAAGCTCTGTAGCTCTGAATTCTGAGATTAAAGTCAGAATAAAATAAAAAAAATCAGAACCAAATTTTTTTTTCAGTGGCCCTAATCCTCTTCCGTATTCTTGTTATATCATTCAAAAATGATTAAATATCTGTGCGTCATCACCTCCATTAAAACAATAAAGTTTTTTAACCAACATGTGTAACACACATCCAAACATCTAACACACACACGCACATACACACACACACACACACACACACACATTACAAAAGAGATACACAGTACGATTATCTTTCTTCTGTTTTTATTCCACATGTTGTGCTCTCCTGTTGTCATGATTCACCCTCTGTGTGCGCTCTCATGGCACTCACTGACTGTATATTTGTGAATGTCAAAGGTCTCCAGACAGCGCTGACGTGTGTGTTCCTACAACACACTGACGTTAACACAAAAAAAAAACATAACCACGCTCTGTTTGTTTAACAGCAGAGAAACTGTTTAAACTTGTAGAAAAGAGTGAGTGAAACATTAAGATACGACAGCAGTGCTGAGAGCGAGACACACTGACCTGCAAGAAAACAAATCTAAACACACCACTTATTCAGCAGTAGCTGTGATATTGAGCTGTGTGTATGTAGCTTTATATCGATAGATTTTGTTGTATTTGGTTGTGTTGTGGAAATTGCTCATGGTTGTGTTGTGAGGGAGCATCACTTGTTCCCTCAAAAATCTGTTAAAATCCCCTAAATTTACCATTTGGTCGAGTATTTGGTTTTCTTTATTTGATATCTGTTTATCAGCTGATGTTAGGATCCACTCAGTTTGATTAATACATGGCTTCATTTAGTATCAATAAAGTATTTATTTTCTTCTTTATCTACAGTGTGTTCTCTCTTCCTGGTGGAGGATAGTTCTCTCATGAACACGCATACATGAATGCACCATTCTTCACCAGGTGTTGGCAATGTGGAACGTACTAATTTGGACTTCAGGATGGGGGGAGTCCAAGAGTTGTACTTTTGTTTTAAATCCGCTCAAGGTAAGATTGCCTTTAGCATGATGCATTCTTCATCAGGTTAATGTACATTTTAAAGACTGGATTGAAGCCTGATGTTTGTCATGTTTTTAATAGATTAATGGTTTTTGTAATTTCACCTCTGCTTGTAGCAGTATGGGTTTTACCAAGCAGTATTTAAAGCTGTTGTTTGCTCGTTGTTCCAGTCGTCTGAGAACCCCCTTTATGACCTGCAGGTAACATCCTGATTAACAAGCTATTGAAATCCAAACCTGAATATGTGGTATTTGAGGACATTGTGATTCTTGTTTGTAGTCTATTTCATTATCATTATCATTTATTTTCAAATCATCTAAAGCGTCTGCGTTGCCCCCTGCAGGTGGGAGGTGTTCCCACTGACTGACCTGTCAGCAGGGACCCCCTGCTGACACGCCATGCAGAAGTGACTTACAAATAAAAGGGCTTTTCACGTCAGCAGTGCAGTGTCGGGGGAAGGTGATTACATCTGTGTGATCTACATTTGACATTCAGATTGGTGATTAAAGGCTCATAGCATTTTCTTCTCTGTTTGGAATCAGAAACATTTGAGTTGCTATCTGATGGCATTTAGTGCAGCCCTTTAATACGCTTGAAGAAGGCCTGGGTGGTGTTGTTTTAGATCCAGATTTTTCTTTGTATAATTAGTATTGTCAGCACAGAAAACAAATGTAGACCTGAATAAATCTAAATATGTGCAGGCTGAATTACTAATACAACTTCTTTGCATGACTTAACCAGTGGGAGTTACATTTTACATTCTTAAAGGATAATGGTGGAGAGATGAGCATCAGAGGATCCATATAACCTGATAAAAGACACCATAGAGCAGTGTCCTACCACGGTTACTTGCTAAAGATAAAAATACAGATTCCATATTGTTTTCATGTGCTTAACAATCAAATATTATTTTTTTTCATAAGCGGTATATTTGTTTAGTTGTTAAAACTTGTGGGTCTGACTAATACCTGAGAAAAGTTTCTAATGCAATTGTTCACTATTCTAGTAAATAAATCAGTAAGAGTCATGATTTAGCACTGCACTAATATTTATATTTTCACTGAGACAAGACCAAGACATTTAGGGATGGAGACCGAGTCAAGACCAAGAATATCACTGAAAAATCACCATCTTGTGTGCAAAGGGCATGTCACTAAGTTACACCTTAACAACAGGAAGGTTGCGGACGTAACAACCTAATTATGAATGAATTCAATTTTGTTGTTCTTTTTGAAAGAGGCATGTTCCTTCTTATCAAAGTAAAGACAAGGAGAATTAGCCTGTCTTGCTATGTCCCGTATGTTTACATGGAGAACGCCAAGCTTATGACCTGTACCGCAGACTGTCAGCAGGGGGAGCTCTAAAAATGTTTGGCTTCACCTGGAAACTTAACTGTTGTCCATTGTTTTATTCTAACCATGGAACAGATAGTTTCACTGGAACTACTTCATAATTGTCCAATCTCCAGATATAAATTGACAACCTTCAGCCCTCAGAATCAAGTATTCACACCAACCATTGTTTAAAGTTTGGAGAAGAACAGACCCTCTTATTGATTCAAGGGTCCTTCTGGTATTTCCACTTATGCTGCTTTTAGGAAGAAGGACATAATAGTAGCACCTGACTCTGAATATGCTGCAGGTATCAACACATAAACAGAGGAGGGCAGGTGTATAAAACCTGTACTTCTCTTTGGTAACCTCATCCCCCAGGTGAGTCCTTTGTTAATCCCATAATGACACGCAGAGAAATAAACACAAGCATGAGAGCCGCCATTACCCGAGGAGCGTGGTGTGTAAAGCTCTCTGCTTGTTAGCGGGGTCGATCATGCGTGCCATTTTGTTTTAAAGTAATCATGTAATTTAAAGTGTGTGTGTGTGTGTGTGCGCTTCTGTAAG